TGCTTTCCAGAAATCTCGAGAAGTAGAAATTACTAGAAATTTCTCGCGACAGATTTAAAGCTATAAAAAGCAAGAGAGAGAACATCTCAGGTCAGTTGTTTAGTTAGCTGCTGTTGTTATTTTTGGGAGCTGAGACTGAGATCGGATTAGCTGTCTCTTGGCATTGCGTTGTATTTTAACGTTTTTAGTAGTTTAAAGTATAGCTACTGATTATATTGAGAGCGAATATCTCTGAGGAAAAATCCAGCGTTCTGTTAAATTTCTTTTGATAAGAATAAATTTTTTTAACCTATTATCGAACTTGTGCATTCAATCTATTACGAACCCGTACGCAAGCAATATATTTGTTTTTATAGTGTATATTGCCTATTAGAATTTATATATTATTGTTTTGTATTCATACAGTTTATATCTAAATGATAAATTTTATAACCTTTTGCTTAACTCTAGTTAAAAGAAGATGTTTCTAACATGTATTCATGCAGTTTACATCTAAATGATAAATTTTATAAACATTTGCATCATAACTCTAGTTAAGATGGTTTTTCTAATGTGTTCATATAGATTAATTAATCTTTAGTATGCAACTTATTTTTCAATTAGCTTAGATTTCAATTAAATCATTTGTAAAGAGTTATACTAAATCTATGTTATAATAACTGCTAAGTTACATGAAACTAATAATAACTGCTAAGTTATATAGAGACTGCTAAATTATTCTAATAATATCTCTAACTGTTGCAATTTATAATACAACGAGTTCATGTGATTATAGTATACCTCCTTTATAATTCATATAGTATACCTCCTTTATAATTATTATAAAAATTTTCAACATCGTTGGAATTATTAGCAGATGCTCTTAATGCCCTATATTTAACTTAGAATTGTTTAGGTTACGTATTCTTTTCCTTGGTACTTTTATGATATAATACAAGTATTTGTATTTCATAATGGTGTAGACATAAATATAACGCATATACCAATCATGCAAATTTATAATTAGCACGCTTTACTGTTTACTAGTACCATATCTTCTATTTTCTTTAATACATTGTTCAAGACATAGCATTAGCCTAATTTCAAGAGCTATTTCATTCACCAGTAACCAAACCTTAATTCATAAATACTGGTAGTTCGATCGGTTTCAAATCCTAATAAAAGGTTTGACAAACAGCTTTTACCGGGATTTAAAATCCGGGTCGGGCAGTTCCATGGTTTTCTCAGATCCATGCTTCAATCCGGTTCGAACAGTTTTTAAGGTTTTCTTCATGTTGCTGTTCTGACTAATTTCACTTGTCTAAAATCAGAACAAGCCCACGAAATTCATCGTGGTAAGGAGGCTTTCCTCATGTATAACGTGAATACGAACCAGTTTGCCTTACAATTTTTTTTCCTACCAATGGTCGAATGATTAAGACCGCTAAATGCTGCGAGTTCGATCAGGGTTCAAGGAGAACGAGTTGACTACATGGTTGGTCTTCGTGGTTTTCTTCCATGAAGGCATCTCTCCTCATAAGCAGATAGCCTTTGTGTTCTTTGCCATAGTCCAAGTAAATCAGACCAATCTCAATTTCTTCTTTTCTTCTGTACGTATTTAATATGGAAATAATGCTCTTATTAAAGCTTAGTAAAAACTTCAGTTTATGCAGTAACACATATTTTCAAAATGTATTCTTTAAAAATGCTGCAAAGTATTATTCATTAGTAGTTTTCACCTTTACCTTAGCAGCTAATCTACTTTATCCTGTTTGCAAATCCGTTTAATAATAAAATAATAAGCATAGGGATTAACTCAAGTCCTATGACCGATCCTTTGCGCAAACTATCTATAAATTTTTCCAAAGACACAGAGGTTATAGGATATCGTTAAAATAGGAAAAATTTCTTCTGACTTACTTAACATGTTAATCCCTATTTTCTTTTCCATACTGAAAACGTTTAACTTTATAAACGTTTAACCGAAAACGTCTCTATGCAATATACGATTTGAGCTTCAGATGCTAATATTAAGCTGATATATCACAAGCATTATATATATTCCTAAATTATATTAAACTAATACCAGAATTATTATATATATATATATATTTAGAAAAATAGAATTATTACATATATATTCAAAAGCTAATTATTCTTTTACTGGAAGCTATATTAGAAATTGTATTAAAAAACTGCATTTAAAAGTAAAATTTTATTAAAACAAAATAAATTTTTCCATATTAGTTTTCTTTTGAATTTCGTAATAAATTATTCACAACAGGAATGTGATATGAATGCTATTCCATTGAGCATTTAAAGTGATTTTAGAATAGTAAAACATTTACAACAATAGAAAGAATAATAAAAAGTAGAAAACTGGAAAGGGAAAAAAAAAAAAGAATTTACTAAATAGTGCTAAGATGACAAATGGGGAAAGGTTCAGTTTTATGAAAATTGTTATAGAAAATCATACCCATTCCACTGGCATTGAAAATAAAATTGAAATATTACAAAATACGTATACATAAATCTCTCACAAAACTTCATAAGTATTATAAATGTAGCATATTTAAAATTTTATGTAGCATATAAATTTTGACATTCATAAGGACTTAAAATGGAAGTTTAGAAGAATTTCTGTAGCTCTGACAATTATAGTAACCTTAATTTGATTTTTAAGCATTATTTTATAATTTTTCTTGACTGTTAGTACAGTCTTCGTTTATTCACAAGCGTGACTATTTACTTTATATGCAACCTATATAAAATAGAATAGAACTCCAGTTATGCGGATTCCAGATATCTGAAACTTCAGTTATCTTCCTGATCAATTATTTGTTTCATGTTAAATGAAATTAAGCTGGTTGTTAATTTAGTCATATGTTTCTAACATTAACTTAATTATTTTATTTCAAATACAATAGAAACGGGCGGTGGGTGCATTTAGGTATTTGAAATAAAATTACTATTAACTGTTCATTTTTTACGTAAAAAGTATGTTTAGTATTTTTTATTTTATTATTTACTAATAGTTTACTTTTTTGTGGGTAATGAAAATGATTTTTTTAACTGTGAAACCAATCCTTTAATATAAGTAGCCAGAGAAGGACTTCAGTAAAAGCCAAGTGTTTAACCTGATAGGTTATTTTAGACTTTTGCTCTGTAATTTTCTTAAAGGTAAATGTAATGTCCGTGTCTAACTTAAACCTGTTAATAAATAATTGTCACACTATGAAGAACCGTTATATGACCCTATCCAACACGACCCCCTTATAACTGTGTAATCTTTGCTAAACATAAATGAGAAAATATAATTCTGTCACTTGCAGTCAAAAGAGTGTGTGATTTATTTTTTTACTATTAGTTTTTCTTTTTCTGCTACGCACTCTAGCAGCTATATGGCTTTGAAAAACAGTATTTAGTTTTAACCCTTTAATTTTTTGAAAAGAAGAACTTGTTAGATGTCTTTTTCGAAAAATATGAAGACCTTTGTGGTGTCTAACGGAAAAGAAAAATTTTTTCGCAGTTCGCGTTATGAGATCGTTAAATTCCTCGTGCAGATGGATAATTTTTCACTCCTCTGTCTTACACTAGGACCAAGGGCGGTACTAAGTATTTTGCCGTTTAGTACAATCTCTGAGAGATTTAAATCCTACTGCGGGGCACTTCTTTAAATTCTAAAAATTTTCTCACTTCTAAATTCTGCTGCCTAATGCCTTCTGTAAATAAAAAAAATTTTGCTGCAAGTTACGTCTCTAAATTCTAAAAATTTTCCGCCCCTAAATTCAGATGCCCGCTTTGCCGGTTCCCTGACTAGGACTACAACGTAAAGTAGTCTTAGGGAAGGACAGAACGATTGAGTATATTGATATTTTGAGGAGCCTCAGCCTCCAATCCGTAATTTATAATGGCAATGATGTCAAATCTTTTAGACCGAGACACATCTATAGAAATGGAAATAAGCGATGGGTTTGTTAATCTACCAAGCTTTAGTCGAAATATTCTTTCAAGTTCAGAGCACTGATTCTGCCTTCTGTTGCTGATCAAAGAGGCTGTAAAATCACAGACTGTGTTATAAAACAAGTTGAGAAGAAGTTTTTAGATCATGCTCAGTTGGAAATAAAGTAACCAAGTCCTTCCCTCTGAAGCTCCGTTGGGAATAAAACTGTCAAAGCTGAGTTAGGAACGGGCCGAACTGGTTCTAAGCCTTATAAGAACTTGTTCGTAAAGTCTTAAATTGGTTTAATTGTTTATCCAACAATATAGTCTTATACTTCCAGTGATATGATAGGTAGCATTCATATTAAACATTCTTTGTATCATTGAAGAACTTTAATTTAACGCTAATATGCTTCTTGCTAATTTGTTGAAAATGGTATTTCCTAAAAATCTGTCTTTTTCTATTTTACAGTACAGGAAATAAGTAACTCTTAGTGGTAAAAATATATAAAACAATTTAAAAAAATTTTTTAAAACTCTGAATTTTAAAAAAATTTTATCTTGAAGAGGATTTTTGTTTCATTGAGATATATTTGTTATATTTACAGCCATTTTAGTAAATAATAGTAATGCTCATTCCATAAACTGCTATGCCCTTTTAGGTATGGTGATTAATGGAGCTTATTGCTATATCGTTAGGCTGAACTCGAATCCAAGACAAAACATGGCTATAAATAATGTATGTAAATCTGCAGCATGGGGCACTTTGTCGAGGCGAGAGTTCTGTCAAGAGGCTGAAGATAGAGGAAGAGAAGTATAAGAAACTTGGATTCTAACCATGTAGAACCAATCTTTATCCATCAAAATTGGAATAGAACTGGGCAAAAGTCATACTGTCACCTTTGAGTTACCAAAGGCACTGGCCAATGACAGGCGATGCTTTTTCTTTTAGGTATGATGAAATTCATACGTTTGATCTAGATTCTAATCCAAGGAGCAATAACAACAACAACAACAGCAATATTTAGATTGATAGTGAATAAAACTGCTTTTTACGCTTATATTTTATTGTGCCTTACCTGGCCTGAGTTTGTTCTTGTTGTTTTTGAACTTCTTTCCATTGCCTTTCAGAATCCACCAACTCATAAGTACTTCCATGCCTTTAAATTAAAAATAAATCAAAATAAAATGGGTTTGCTGATCTACAGTTACAATCAGGTTTATTTTACATTGTTAAAATATATGTGTAGCAATCATATAAGCGCAATAAATATATATTAATATATATTACTTGTTTATGTATTCAAACGACTGTTATTATAAACATAAAATATATTAGCATCTAAATAAGGCTTGGGCAAACTTTTTGACCGAAGGCCAAATTTAGTAGGCAGCATATATAACTAGTATTTTTAGATATAAATTATTATTAGTCAGAAAACTTAATTCTGTCATAAAAATAAATAAATTTCTAACCAACAATTTAATAAGACGAATGATATTGCTTTACATATTTCATCATTTCGTAAATTTCTGGTGTTAATTTTGCAGAAAAGATTCTTAGAACCATTTATAAATTATCATCAGTGTGCTTGATCGTAAGACTTTACAGAGCTTCACCATGAAAAGATTTTTGTTCGATCTAAAAATAACCACTTTTGTTTTGAGTAAAATTCTTAAATTTGATGAATTTGTCCAGATTAAGGGCATTACAAAAGTTACGGCTTTTTGTCATTAATATGCTGAACGAAATTGTGTGACGAGTCGTAGTTTGTCCGAGCTTGATACACTATAATAATAGAATCTGAAAAATTGTCAGTTATTCTTGGTGCAATGTATGTTAAAAGTGATTACATTTACTTCCAAAAATAATTTATACGATTCTTAATCATAACTCATTTGATGCTAACTTAATTTCGCAAAATGCAATACAACCTTACTTATTTATTTTTACTGTAATAATCGTTTAATGACATCTTTTTTCGACATATTTACCTAGTAATTAAATATATTGATCATATCCTTATCACACAGTACATGTTTAAATTCTTTTCTTTATTTATGCTTAAATATATGTTGATCCCAGCGATGTTTCATGAGGAGATTGTAGCTTCAGAATATATTTGGATCCTGATAGTTGAAATAATTCGTTCATTTTTAAATTTCATTTAAGAAAAAAAAATAAATAAAAATAAAATGACGCCAATAGCTATTATGAATAATCAACAAAAAGTTTTTTATTGTTGTTTTCTAACTAAGATCACGAAATTCAAATTTGGAAGTATAAGTAATCATTGAGAAAAGTAGCAACAAGTAAAAAACTGATAACAGAAAAATTAAATGTATTACTTTTTTCGCCTACTGTGTCTTCTGTGTCTGTGCTGTGGCTCTGAATCACTTCCATCACCAGACTGAGAACTGTTGTAATAAAATGTTTGATAAAAATTACTTAATGATTTGAAAAAAGAAATATGTATAAAATATTTAAACATCTAATTCGATGTTCATTAAAGATTATCAAGTGCAAGAAAATTACCCATTCCTTCTGTGACCGTGACGAGAAGATTTGGAAGATTTTGAGCACCTGGATGATTTCGATATTTCGCTTTCATTATCAGACTGTTTCCTACTTTGATGGTGTCTGAAATGATAAAGTATGTTAAGTCTATAAAAATTTAGATGCCATTTAAAAAAAAATAATTTATTCTATTTGTTAAGAAAGAATAATTATAATAACTATATCTTTCAAATACATCAACTGCATGTGAGTAAACAAGTAACGCAGAAGAAAAGCCTTTCAGTAATTCAGTTGAAAAATGCTTTTATTTAGAATGGATATTTTCGATCTAATTGTAGAATTTCGAGCTTACATAAAAAAAGTATTACTAGAAAAATTTTAAACATATCGAAACAATCATAATGTTAAAATGTGTCAAAACAATATGAGATTCGGTATAGGTGGAGTAAAGAAGTTCTAAGCCTGACAATGAATGGATTGGATAAGCCTAGCTTTGCTTTCATGGAAAATCATGATCATGGAACATTGAGCACTTGTCTGTCATGAGAGTTTTAGAGGGCTCTATCTGATTTCGTTGATTTGTTCAAAGGATTTTTGATAAAATGCATTTCATTTTGGTAAAACACATGAAGGCCCTTTGTCTAAGGCAAACGATGGCTTCATGGAGGACATTCTGCGGGAAAAATTCATGGACAAGCGAAAAATCGCATAAATACTTACGCAGCTAATTCATTAGCAAGATGAGACATCAGTATTCAATGGTCTTATCAAATTTGTCATTTGTCGATACCTTATTGAGATTGCGAATAAGTCGAAAACATCGCATGTGGCAAAACGTATTTCCGGCTAGGATCTGATTACCAACTGCGCCTGCCCGATTTTTGAGAGCGCTCATATCATTCTCTTTTTAATTCAGCATCTCGTTTTTTCTTGATGAAACAAGAGAAATGTTAGGAGCTCGTGAAAAAATGATGTGTCTAGAGCCCAAAACTGGCTTATTGGATATCTGTGTACAATAGGTAGGGTAAAAGATAGCAGCAGCCATTACAACTGATTAAGCAGATTTGGAGCAAGATTCAAGTGTAATTTCCAGATCTGCCATGTGACAAATGGAACAAACATAAAAATATACTAGGGTAAGATATAAACTTCTGGCACATTTTTACTAATTTAGCATTTGAATCGTTTCAATGTGTTCAATAGTTTATAAATAACATATTTTTACAATCCTAAAAAATTTATGACTCACACTATTCAGTTACTCTGGATTTTAATAATTTCAAAAAATCAGAATCATTTCTAAAGTTTGAAAGATTATCATGATTTAAAAGCTTTTTTTTTTGGGGGGGGGATTATTTTTAGTGTAATATATGACACACTTCCTTATCTGATTTACTGTTGGTGGTATGTATTTAATAACATGTCTCAAAGTCACTCTTGCATGGTGTCTTTGAAGATTACGTCTTAAGAGAAAGAAATGTAAAGAAAATTATAAAGTCTATCAACAACGTTTTCAATGCGTTGGTTGATAGCAAAATACAACGATGAATAACTTCATGTGTTACATAACTTGATGAAAAATAGAGGTTTAATGCTTAATGTACTACCTCTCTCTTATTTCTAATTTTTTTAAAGGAAGAAACTTCCTTTCTTTAAAACAAAACAAACTTCAAAAGGGAGAAACTAATGTCGTTGTACCAATTGAATTCATTACTTTATGCCAATATGAAGAGCTACTATAAAAACTTGTCTGTAACAGATTTTTGTTAAGAGGAAGATGTAGGAAAAAATGAATTAAAAAATTATTAATATTTTGTTAGATAGGAGAAAATGCCTTTTTTGATGAAATTTAGAGTAGACTGGACAATAGCATGGCAGTTTTGACTTGCTCTTGAATAATCAATATCTGTACAAAAGCAATTAAGATTCCGTGAAACGTTGCCATGTATACTTTATAAGCTATTTCTCCCGCCTTCTTAGCATGCCTTCATGGCGTAGTGGTCAGCATACTCGACGTGTATTCGAGAGATCCGTGGTTCGAGTCTCGGCGAGGGCATTGCTCCCTTTTCAATTCTCCTGTTTCGAAATAACCAAACGTTTCTACAGTGCCGCTCGAACTAAAAAAAGTGGTAGATGATGATTCTCCACCAAAATTATTGGGGGTTTAGGAAACCCCAATCGCCCTTTAAAAGGGGGAGTATATAAGGTATTTCTCCCGCTTTCTTAGGATGGCTTCGTGGTGTAGTGATCAGCACACTCGGCGCGTATTCGAGAGGTCCGTTGTTCGTGTCCCACCATGGATCAGTTATAATTCTTACCCCTTCCTTCCTGAAAGTTTAATATTAATACTTTTTAGAACTCTTCAGTTAGTGTTCAAGCCCGGGAAGTGCTAAGTTAATTAAGGACCATTACAGTGTATTTTAATTTAACTCGGCGCGTTGTTTCCTTATGACATCGAGATCAAGGAAACGTACAGTGATAGTCAATCTGAGAACCGGACGGAATTCCAGTCGTGCCGTATATAATCTTTTGTCGATAATGTTATTTGATGAAGTTTTTTGATAATAATAAAAAATTGCGTTAAGTCAAACACGCAATCTGGGTAAGATTTAACCAAATTTATTTTTACGAAGTAAAAAAAAAAAGTATTCAGAAAAGAATAATGTGTATTTAAACACCTTTTAAAACGATGTACTATATAATCTGCAGCAAATTCTGTAAATTTAGGAAAAATTATAATAAAAACAAATACTTTAACAGAAAAATAGATGTATTTTAAAAACTTATATATTTGTGATTATCATTATAAAGACATCTGTCACTTACTTTCTTTTCCTGTAGTCGTAGCTAGCTGTACTTTCAACAGATCCCGTACGGCTGTGAAGGGGATATCGGCGAGAAGGTAAAGCACCAGCACTCCTCACTGAACGAGGCGAAGGATTGGTGCAACTCGAATAGAGCCCTCGGGAACTGTAAAAATAAAAAGATGTTTAGAGTCAGGATAAGAGATAATTAGGAAAAATATATTTGCCCTTAATGTATTCGCACATTTAAGACGGGGCATCGTTATCAGCAATCCTAAAGAAAGCTGTCTGTAAGCATTTATATTTCTGCAAATAAATTATTGATAGCAATAAGTACAAGGTGGTCATAAGAAACTTCGCCGATATATGAACCCCTAGCGGCCTGATGATTTAAATTGATAATTTGATGTCATGTTTCAAGACAACAGAGTTCTCACGGTTACGTTTACGATGAAAAAAGTTTTGAAATTTTCGATAGGAAACATCCACCTTTTTTCCTGTGCAAATTCATCAACTCATTCAAAAACCAAAAATGGCGTTGGAACGATACATGTATGATAGAAATTGCCAGCGTAAAACTTTTGCAAAGGAAAGCATTATAAAGGACCAATAGCAATACAAGACAGAAGGGGAAAAAACTCTTTATTAGAATTACAAGTTTTCAACGTGTCCACCTTCGCAAACGATAACGCATTGCACTGCGGGAGATAGTTGATAACAATGACGAACGTAACATCGCAGGAGGAATCTGTGGATCTTGTGGATTTGATGTGCACACTTTAGATTTCAGATATATCCAGAAACAGAAATCCATCTGAGTGAGGTCAGGGTGGAGATCGCGGTGGCCACGGAATTGCAGAGTTAAGGGAGATGACTTTACCTTCAATGTGCTGTTGCAGCACTTGCCGAACGCATGTGGCGACGTGTGAAGGAGAACCATTTTGCATCCGTACTATGACATTAACGACATTTCGCTGCTGCAGCTTTGCAACATTGAGCAACACTGCTGCTGCAGTTCTGCAACATACGTAACTTTGCAACATTGAGCACTTGTGATGGAGCACGTTTTCATAGCAGTGGAAGTGACGTACTGTCGATGCTGCACTACTCAGTTACTTTAGCTGCACAAGCTCTTGTAATGGAACACGTCTTTACACATGTGGAAGTTACCTCTTGGAAGAAGTACGGACCGAGAACGAATGTGCTTGCGATGCCGCACCACACAGTCATTTTAGCTTCGTGTAGAGACGCTGGTGATCGTGAGGATTTTTGTTAGGTCAGTGAACACAGTTCTTGGAGTTTACGTTCACAGTTAAGGAGAAATGCTCCTCATTCTTCCATAATATCCGCAGCGCCTATCTGCTGCCTTCATCATATCTAATGAGGAATATTCACGAAGTCGACACGCTGTTGCTTGTTTGCAACATCTGAAAGCGCTAGAACACATAACGAAACATCCACAGAACGCCGCGCAAAAACCTGAGGATGGTGGTTTTGGGTACATCATTACTACGGGTAACATCTCTACAATGGGGCCTGCAGTAACTGTATTATGCACTTCCGCTACAATTTCAACAGGAGAACATGGTCATCCGGATAGTGGTCTATAGTATGTTCATACAGTTTCTTCAAATTTTGTTTGCCAAATTTTTTAGTTTTCCCGTTTTAACTTATGATTTCGCCGATATTCCTCGTTCAGATAAAACAGCTACACTCTTTTGGGAAAAAAAAACTTGAAGCACCAAAAAAGGACTTTTGCGATCGTGACGAAATTTGGAACGTAAAAACATCTTGATCGAACATGCAAATGATCAGTTTTAAGCCAAATGAACAGGAACTGCCATCATAGCGTGAATTTCTAGTGCGCAATTCGCAAAGTATAAAACCAGTAACAGAGGCGGAAAATTTATATTTTTTTGTTGCTGCCATTGTAATTCCGTAAAGAAGCAACTAAATGTCATTACGACGATACCGAAGACCTTACAGACAACTAAACGACTTCGAACGTGGTCGCATTGTAGGGTTGCGTGAAGCTGGGTGGTATACCAAGCAATAGACCGCCATTTGCAGCGTACAGACAGTGCTGTGAAAAGATGTTGGCAGCAATGGTTGCTACCATAGAGCTGTAATGTACTAGAGAGAGAAACGGCAACACTGAAGGGGAACAGGAATGCGAACCACGTGACATTTGGTACATTTCCCAGATCCTATTTCCCGCGGATCTTCCTTACCATTACAGTTCTATGGAGAACTTCAAAAATGGTACTTTCGTGCTCCGCATATGCATGTAATTCCAGATACGTGAAAGGTGGAGGAGTAACATTTCACAGGAGAACTTTTTCTAATGTTTTAAAACATAATTTTATAAAATGTAGAGTTTTTTTATCCACTCAACTTGCCGTGTTCTAATAAAAAATAGATTTTCTAATTTTATATAATATATGCATACTTGAAATAACATTTAAATAAAAGTATCTTAATATATATGTATGTTTCTAATAACTGTGTTCTGAAAAAATGTTAAAATTTTAGTAATATAATATAATTTTAATTAGTCTAGTATTCTGCTTTGGCGACATTTTTTATACGCCAACAGACTGCTTTTGCTTTGTTTAAATATTCTTTGTATGCGTTTGCTTATGCGGACATGTGCGAAGTAGTAATGTATGTATTTAATACTTGGTAATGTTCATGTAACATTGTGTAAGAACTGCATAAAATTATGTTTTTTTTTGAGGGGGGACATGAATGACTTTATTTTATCCCCTTTTCTTGCATCCAAATATAACAAATATGTTTACTTTCAATCACGTATTTTCTTTCTTATATCATGTTTCTGGCATTTATTCAAATATTAAGTATTTGTTAAGTGTTAAGAAAATAGTAATTATATAGCAGTTAAATTTCAAAACTTTAATAGTTTTAATTTTCTTTTTAAAAATAATGAACATTATTTAAATTTTACCTTCTAAAATTATTTAAAATAAGTGCAACTACATTGTGCAACGTGCATAATATATATATATATATTTTTTTTTGCTAGTAAAAGGAAGTCTTAATTTACCACTTTTTTGTTTCATAATTTAATTATTTATCTCTCTCTCTCTTCCTTTTAACTTATATCTGCTATATTGACATTCATTTTTAGTTCATTTAATTTAATATCTTTCTCACTTTGATTTGCCTACTCTGTAGTTCTCTGCAATACACCGTATTAACATTAAATTACCTTTTCGTATAAATATTAAATTTCCTTTTTGTATTATTTTCTGTTTTCTCTCATTTTTCTTATGTTATCTATTTTTTTTATATTTTTTATTCTGTTCTAAGTACTAAAAAACCTTCTTTTTTATTTATTTATTTTATTTATTAATTTTTTTCCTGGCCCTTTTTTTCCTTTTAGGCTTATAATCTTCCTGTTTCACTTTAATCTCTCTTTTTCACTCAAAATCATTTCTTAAATTATCTTGTGTTCCTTGTTTATGCATTACAATAAGTATATATATATATAAATTTTATTTATTTTTTAATTTTTTAATTATTTATTTTTCATCCACTATCTTTAGTATGTATTATATACTTTGCCTAAATCACTTTTTATTTATTTATTTATTTTTAAATGAAAAAAACTCTTTTTTTATATTTATTTTATTTGTACTTTATTTATTCCTATTACCATTTTTCCGATATGTTGTATTTATTGTACACTGCTTCGTCTCATTCTGTTTTTGTCTTTTTTCTCTTTGTCTACCTTTGTGCTGCTAAGCTAGTATGACTATTTGTCTGGCTTAAATTTTAAAATAAAGTGTCCAATTTCAGGAAAATTATTAATGTTGGCTGGTGTTTATCGATTTAACCTCTTCTGCAAATTCAACGGCAGCTTCTGCGAAATGACATCTTTCCAAATTCGCATTTAGAACTGAGAGAAATGAGGGAAAAAAATCGCCAGCCATGGCGATAGTACGCCAAAGTCTGGATTCAGTTCCATTTCATGCCCAAACTCCTGCAGCTCATTCCTGTGCCGCTTTCTCACCCGGTTTTGAATGGCGATGCTCCGTCTAGTATATAACAGGTCTACGGTTGCTACAAGGAAATTGCCGTCAAAATCAGGGCTCTGGAAGACCAGGGAGCACAAATGCGAGGCAAGATAGGATGACTGTTCGCTAGGCCTGGACCGCCCCAACGGTATCATTCTCGACTATTCAACGCACTACAGCCACGTCTATACCTCCTGTGGTACCGTCCACCATCTCACAGCGCTTGTCTGAGGCAGGGTTACGATCACAGAGGCCTTTAAGACGTTTGCCTTTGGCTCCACAACATCGGCGGGGTTGTCTGGAGTTGTGTCGCAGCTGATCATCATGGCTGCTATCAGACTCACATCGTATAGTGTTCAGCGATGAATTCCGTTTCACTCTTGAAGTAGATGATCACCGTGTTCGTGTCTGGAAAGGACGGGGCCAGCGGTCCCAATCAGCCTTTGTTTTACAAAGGCATACAGCCATAACCCCTGGTGTGATGGTGTGGGGCGCTATTTCTTATGACAGCAGGTCATCTTTAGACATCCATCAGACTGACATCGTATAGTGTTCAGCGATGAATCCCGCTTCACTCTTGAAGCAGATGATCACCGTGTTCGTGTCTGGAGAGGACAGGGCCAGCGGTCCCAATCAGCCTTTGTCTTACAAAGGCATACAGCCATAACGCCTGGTGTAATGTTGTGGGGAGCTATTTCTTATGACAGCAGGTTATCTTTAGTTATCCTCCGTACATCTTTAACAGCTAAGATATGTTGATACTATCCTGCGGCCGGTTGCATTACCCTTCATGGCACGTAATCTTGGGCCATTTTCCAACAAGATAATGCAGCCGCATATCTCTGGACTGTCTGCGTGCGGTTGATACTCTTTCCCTGGCCAGCAAAGTCACCAGACCTTTCACCAATCGAATATGGTTGGGGCATGGTAGGCCGCCAGATTCGGACACCACAAAATATCGCAAATCTGGAGCGACAACTGATGAATGCCTGGCAGAACGTGTCCGAGGATGACATTAGGAACCTCTACCACTCCTTGCCTCGACGAATTCAAGCATGCATTACCGCCAGTGGCAGTTCGACCAACTACTAATCTGAACACGGGGATTGTGAGCCTTGAACATTTACTATGACCTTAATTTTTTAATCATTTTGTTATCTGTGTATGATTTATACACATATTCAATTTCATCAAAAACAACCACTTCCTTCATGGTGCTTCGATGTTTTTGCAAAAGAGTGTATATCAATTCACCTCGTTGTTTCCCCGTAAGTGTCATCTTGTTAACTCATTCGGACCCCTGACTGAAGAAACAGTCTTGCCATTGCTTATTAAAGGTTGTCCTCCAGCTGTGCTTGTTTGTGATTGGTGCAATGGTGTTTTGTGATTGGTGCATCTACTGTCTATCCCTGTGAATTATGCAAATTGCGTTAATGCACCTCTCTTTGTGCTGTCATCAGTCCTTTAGAATACTCTTCTTTGCAAATATTTTAAGCCGGCAGCTTTCATTATACATGTATCGTTACAATGCAATTTATAGTTTTTTAGTGCGCTGATCAATTTGCATAGTTGTTGCGAAAATGTTTCACTGTATCTGTGAGAACTCTTATTATTTTAAATCATCACAATCTCCAGCACATACCTTCAAATAAGAATATCTATAATTTTATTTTAATTGGTTGAGCGAATAGGCCGCTAGTGGTTCTTATATCAGGGATGTTTTTTATGACCACCCTGTATAAAGTATGAATCAAAGCAGCTAATTAAGTGTCTAGTTGAATATACCTTATTACACGGAATACCTAATGCCGGCTTTATGTATGTACAGGTAACCAAAAATAACCGAAATGATAACATTGCGAGCTCGGATTTTGTTATTTCGGATCGTACTTCTATGTCCTAACAAGGATTTCCCGCTCCTGTTTACCAAGTGGCATAAATCTGAATAGAGAAGTTTGCCCTTCGTGTTGATTTATCAGAGATCCTGCTTGCAGCATTCTGTGATTTTTGTGATGTGCAGCCACGAAAAAACAGAAATGTTGTTTTATGCTGAAGTAAACTTGAGTTGAAACCGCTTTTCAGCATATTTTTAAAGTTGATGTTTTCCCGAATTCAAAAAAGGCGATATTCTTTTCGAAGAATTACACTCCTTGAGGATGAACATCTCACTCATGCTATTCCTCAAGTTTTCTATTTGTTAGTTTTTGTTCCTGTGTATAAAGAAAAAACTCTCAAAAGGCATTTAAATAGATTAAAAAAAGTTTAGTGATATCGGATGAGGTGTAAGAAATGTGTCGGATGTGTGCATTGAAACATATTACGTACCATGAGTTTCAAAACTGTTTCCATGTTTCCAGCAATGAATGAGAAATCAGAAGAGTATACTAGCACTAGTGGAGAATACTTTTGAAATGGATTAAAACTTGGAAGTGTGTTGAATATCCCTTGGTATAGGAGTTTATTTCTGTAACTGAAGAGACCCGCTTTAAGTTTTGGACATTGTAGCTTGTTCTCAGTTTGATTCCTCTTGCCATCAAGTAGAATCTGCTTGAATTGCAAATATACTTGGTTTTTAAGTGGCTTCAACGCAGCATACAGGTACTTCCTGTAGTTGGATAAAAAAGCGCTGCAAGCTATTTTGCTCGAGGAGTTGTCCAAGCAGGGTCACTAAACGCTAAGCTCAGCAGAGTCGTAGCTAGGGTTTTCAGCGCCCAGGGACAACTGAAGATTTTGCGCCCCCTACTGCTTGTCAAGGATGGAAATAATTTAATTCTAAAATGTCGTAACATTAGTTTGGCGCCCCTTGGACTCTGCGCCCGGGGACAGATGCCCCCCCCCTCTAGCTACGCCCCTGAAGCTCAGAATTGATGTTGGCGTTTGCTTGCATTCGCAAAGAAGGCAAGGAGGGCTTACAATCTGATTTTCAAATTTTTGCTTAATCAATAATCACAGATAGGTTCTTTGCAGTGCAAAATATGTGAGTCCATTCGGTATTAAAAAAAATGAGAAATTTTTACTTGTCTATACATATACAGATACCGAATTGTGAAATAGGAGAGATTCATGTGAATTAAATCTTAAAAGCATTCTTCTGCATTCAACAAAATCTGCCAATTTTACTTAATTATTACAGTATCAATTATTAATATTTTTAAAATAAAAATTTTTTTAAAGTTGTTTATTTACTTTCCTATTTTTCCTATTTGGTAACAAGAAATATATATATATATATATATAATTTGTTTGTAATATTTGGGGATGTTAACACCAAAGCCATTTAGTCAAAGGCGTTTGCTATTGCAGAAGCAGAAAGGGCATTGTTAAGCAAATATTAAATTTCCTTCTGTTGTTAGTAGTTATTGTTATTTCAGCTACTGAGAATGTACTTTACATTCTACTTTGATATGTTTTATAAGGTCGCCTTTCCGTCCGTAAAAGCGTTGTACGTTTGAATGATATGATGCACACAAACCTTAATCTTGAATCTTCCCAAGCAGGAGGAATAACTTTATAAGGAGAGGGAACAACTGATGGTACTGACGTAGATCTGTGCAGGGCTGGTCTGTAAAAGAAATTATCTTTAATTATAACCTCTGAAAAACTCAAAATACAATCTGCTGATAAAGGAGTTTAGAACAGGAGTATACTTACATCAGAACAGGATTATGAGGCAAATTCATGACAGTCATTGGCTCAAGCATCTGCTTTACGTTGTTCTCTTCTTTTGCTTGTGTTTTAGCTAAAAAAATATTGCATTAATTATTTGATTTGTTTTATCTGCAAACTTATTACAGAACTAGAAGTTTTGTGGATATTAAAGGAAATGGTGGAAATTTGTTAGCTTTAGTCTGTTTCATATGTAATGAATTGATATATATATAGACATATTCTGGTGATTGATATTTGAGAAACACGTAAGAGAAAAGGGAGTCTAAAGGATATAGGGAAAATCGATACTTTTGATATGCTCCCTAGGCTACTTGAATAAGTTATGTAGTGTTCAGTTTCTTTGATATTCCAATTTTTCTCCCAACTAAGGTTCCTTTGATCTTGATTACAAAAGAATCTGAATGATCACAATTGGCAAAAGTGGATTTTAATCTGGTCTTAATTAACAGCTGAATAGCCTCGGTGCATTTTGAGCGATAAACAGGTTAGATTAGGTTATTTGAATACGGCAAAGCATACGAGGACTATCTGCCTGAATGAAATGCCTTTGCAGAGGACTTTCTGAAAGAAACTACCTCGTGTTCACTTTGCACATGGGGAAAACCACGAAAACCAGCCATACAGCCAGCCTGTTTTCATAGGTTCGAATCCGAGTCTAACTACCACTATTCAGCGGTTTTAACTATTCGGCCAGCCGTGAGGTTACAAGTTGCAAATAATAGTTGTTTCAGCAGCACTGAATCTGCTCCTGAAAAGCAAGAATCGCATTATCTCAATCGAAATGCACTGGGTTTTTGCAGTTAAGGATAATCGCTAACTTGAATTTGATTTTTGCCAAGTGTTCAATCCTATATTTAACCGTTTGGCATATTTAAGGCAACAAGCTAACAATGAGCGAATAAAGTATAAATGCAAGTTAGCAGTAAATATTATGTAATTTAAAATTAGGTAGCATCCTTCTTAAAAAATTAAATATGAATATCTTGTATTTTCTACTGAAACAACAACTACTTTTTCCATATCTCTACCAATAAAATATCGTATTTCTTCGATTCTAAAAAGCTATAAATTTAGATCCACAAAATGGAGAGACCTTTGATCAGAAAAAAATAAAATAAATGAAATAAAACATTCAAATACATCTAACATTTTTTAGCAGTTGCCTAACAACAACTTCAAAATATGTATTTAAATCAGTATCTTTAAAAGATTACTTCCGAATAATTAATAATTCGGAATACTTAGTGAATCTAAGATGTTCCCTGATGTTTATCGCGTTTATAAAAAGATGCGTCTCAGAAACAAAGAATGCAGTATTAATCATCATATATTTTCCTATTAAATAATTAATAACAGTCTTTAATTCCAAGAACAGATCCATACAAAGAATGGCCTGTTATGGCCTAGGCTTTAACACAAAAGTCTAGCACGTCGTAGCGAAACATATTTTTATTTTCAGGGAAAGTCGGTACCTCAAGGGTGTCGTTTATTAGAAAACAGAATTTACTGTATCCACACAGCTCACTGGCCATACCACTGAAGGCAAAACCATTGCTATCACGCGTATCGACAATAAGAGTAGTGGCAGTTGGCGTTGTTAAAGACAGAAAACACTCGGACTGAATTGAAAATGGGGTGGAAAAAGAATCCACCGGGAATACCTCTTAAGTTTCTCGGTTAGGAAGAGAATTGCTGTAGAGAGAAGGACACAGACTACTGAATGTGTCTACTGTCTTTTTTTTTTTTTTTTTACGTTCTCCTTTGTTTCTATGATTGGTCTCCAGATACCTTCTATGAAACGAAGCTGTTAGTTGTTCGGGAAAAGGAAGAATGATAACATTGATAGCAATTCTACAGTTTCCTTGCCTTTTAAGGCTTACTATTACTTACGCTTTGTTTTCGTTTTATTTACGTTACTCATATCTTAGGTGGAATTATGATTTATGGCATTTCTTGAAATTTCAGCGGGAATCACTTGATCATCAGCATACTGGTTTTGATTGGCCCGATTAGAGTTGGATTATTTGGATTATGGTAAAGCATAGGAAGGCTCTCTGCTTAAAAGGGAATGCCGTCGTGGAAGATGTTTTAAAGCAAACTGGTTCGTATCCTAGTTACAAATGGGGGTACTCTCTTGCAGTCAATTTGTTCACTAAGGATCTGAGCCAAGGTCGAATTATCAGTGTTCAGAGCTCTTATCTCTCGGTTGTTGGTTGGCTCCAAATCCCAGTTAACCGGAGTAATATCGAAGATGACATCCACGGTTAATCCGGGGGGAAAGCACAGAAAAAGGGAACAGCCTTAAAAATAATATTAAAATTTACTTTAATATTAGTATTTTCAAGCAGTTTAATCTGGAGAATAAGTTTATTTGTTTAAATTAGTATCATTAAATCACTGTTTTAAACAAAATGAATACATCTTCTTTATTATTCAGAACATTCAAAAGAAAGAATTTAAAAAGTTTTTTTGCAGAGTTCATCTTGCAGAAATCTTCTTTTATTTCAACAGTGCTTTCTTTTTTGAATTTTCCGCGGATAGTTTTTTTTTTTTTTTTTTTTTTTTTTTTTTTAACGCTGATGGTTTGTTATAACAATTTTTACACCGTTCCGCTTTAAAAAAAAAAAAAAAAAAAAAAAAAAAAAAAAAAAAAAAAAAAAACATTGGGTTCGGTTAATTGCAGATTATAGGTGGGATCTGTCAACCTTGCAAGCTTTCCTTGTAGTGTTCAAGACAGTGTTACTTATAATACTGCTTTTTAATTTCATTTATATCATGTGAATAACTTTTAATTAACTTATAAGGTATTTCTTCCGCCTTTCTAACATGCCTTCGTGGTGTGGTGGTCTGCACGCTGGGCCGGTATTCCAGAGGTCCGCGGTTCGATTCCCGGCGAAGGCGGTTTCTAATTTTTTATCTCACCTGCTTCCAATTAACTTAATGACTATACAGTGGCGCCGAACTAAAAGGGTGGTGGATGATGATTCTCCTCACCCAGGATTCGGGGATTGGGTCCCCTAAAAACCCCAGTCGTCCTTTAAAAGGGGATGTATATGAGGTATTTCTCTCGCCTTTCGTAGCGTGCCTTTTCGCTGTGGTGCTCTGCATGATGGCCGATATTCCAGAGGTCCGTGGTTCGATTCCCGCCGAAGGCGGTTGCTAATTTTTCATCTTACCTGCTTCCAGTTAACCTAATGACTTTACAACATCAGCATTAAAATCATATGTAATATATTTAATCTATTATTGCATTATTTTCTTCTAGAAATTTTATTCCTAGCCCTGTTTCACTTCCCTGCAGAGCACAGTCATAAGCAGGCCACGAGGCTAAAAACGTTCTGAAAGCAATGCTCATAGAATGGGAAATATGTGTAAGATAAAATTATAACTGTAATTTTCAATTTCCCCTTTGGCTGTTTTTCCTTCCTGTTCTAAATACATTTATAATTCTGTAATGTTTATAGTAAATATTTCCGAATTGCAACATTTTAATACTAGTCCCTGTCGTACGATTCTTATAAACGCTCGTGATACGCGTAATACTTACATAATGCAAAAGAGCTTTCAGTCAATAATAATCATAAGCACTAACATCATGTATGTCGTTTCTCTTCTATCGTTAATTGGTTTTCTATGAATAACAATACGTTCAACGAAATATACTTATAAAAATTAATTAGCAAGTCCAAAAGCTGCCTGATTCAAGAAAAAAAATTTTCCTTCATCTACTTATTCAGCACTTTTATGTCATTATCTCAAAATGCTTTGTAAAAATTAACGAAAGCTAAAATTTTCCCGGTATCTATACCTACATTCAAGAAAATTTTATGCTGATTATAAAAAGTAAAAAACAGAATGTTAGATTCCCGTACGACAAAAGTTTATCGAGATATTTAATTTCAAATATTGAGATATTTGACGTCATTTGGGGAGAAGTCGCTAAATAAATAAATTAAAGTAATTTGAGGTTGCATTTATTTTTAAATGTCATTCATTGGAATTCTTTAATGATTTACTAGTATGTGACTTTTTTTGTTTATAATTTTGTTTCAACTGATATGGTGTAAAAATTTTTATACAAGCAATTTATAAGTTTTCAAACGCTAAAAATATGTTATTTATGCTATTCGGAAGCTTTGTTTCTTTAGAATTATGATCTTATAATCATACAAAAATTCATTAGGCTAGAAAGATTTTTAATTTATACATATATATATATATATATATATATATATAAAGTTATGAGTTAGCTAAATGCCAATATTAAAGCCTGTCTGTGTTTCCTAACGTACGGTACGAATACTCTGTGAATAAGATTTCTCTTTAAAATTTTATATTGATCAATATTTTTTATGACAAGCTGCATAAAAGTATTCCTTGCTTGATGTATTAACATCAAACCGTTTTTAAAACTGATATTTTATTTTTAGTTATATACAAATGCAAACATTTCGCTCTTCAATTTATGGATGTGATTTACGAATTTAAATTTAAATAGCTTGGTTAATTTTTGTCGTATGAAAGTCACAATTTTGGAAACTAAATTTTATAATGAGTATACAGTTTTCCTAAACATAAATTTACAGATCAGTAGAATGTATAAAAAGTTAGATTTCATTAATCTTTACAAAATTGGTATTTTTATATTTGAAAACACCAAAACATTAATATTTATATCATTTAGAACATTTTTACTATCGGAAGCATATGTCTACGCCTAGTGATTGCTAAAATAAAAGCCGACTGATGTGGATACGATGTATATATATGTTTAATAACATATTTCAAATTTAGATTGGTAAATGCTCAAAGATTTAAATGCCGCAATAACATTCTAAATGCAGAAATGAAACAAGGATCCAACACAGTCAATAAATGTAGGCAAGATCACCATTTCGTAAAAAAGATTTTGCCGAGATGTTAGTTAGTTATGTTAACAAGTCAGTTACATTCAAAAAGCAAATAGAATAATTACAACATAAGTAGCACACATTAACATAAGTAACAAAATGTTATTTATGCTGAAAAGTAAGCAGAATAATTACAACATAAATAACAAGCATTAGCATAAGTAACAAACATAAGCAACAAAATGCTACATATGTTAAAAAGTCCCCCCCCCCGTATGACGGGCTTTAACCGTTTATAGGCTTTGGCCACTACTAAAGCCGGAAATGATGGTCTCTTTATTATGAAGGCACCTAACAGGTGGGCCATCCTTGCCTCCTATGAAGGAATGAACAAATTATGTTCATGCTTTCTCCGGGATTCGAATCCGATGTTAGAAATGTAAATAGAATAATTACAACAGAAGTAAAAACATGAATGGCATAATGTTACTTATGTTAAAAAAGTAAATAGAAAGATTTTCTTAGTTTACCATCTGCTCCGTCTGGTTGACCAATGCGTTTATTAAATCGTCGGCTTGGTACACGGACAAAAGTTGGGGGAGTTCGCAGTCTTGCTTGCATGCCCAGCGACTGGAAGTTTTTGTTCAATCTGTTTCTAGAAACGAGAGAAAAAAAAAAGAAATTAATAAATACAGCTATTTTAGATTTTAGTCTCGATATATGAAAAAAAAAAAAAAAAAAAAAAAAAAAAAAAAAAACTTTTTTTATTCGAGAAAAGTCAATTACATACTCATACCCATAAAATTTATTTTCCAAACCAGCGATTTTTCCACTGTGGCCTGGTACTTCTCGAATCTGCGTTAATCTAGAAAAGTGATACATTTTATTATGCATAATCGTCTTCAATAATTCTGCTGCATTACTTTTTATTTGCAAAGCATATCCATTAAAAATTAGTCTAAAAATCAATTTAAATTTCTGAGGATTTGTGGTTCAAAAAAGAAAATTTCTTGGAAGTTTGAGGTGGTGTGCATTTTTATGAAATAAACTTAGACTTTTGCAGTGAATGAAATAGTTAATGCTTTGTAATAAATATTAATATGTTTACACTCATTAAGTGCATTCATGAAACGAAAATCTACCAGCATGACCTATTAATGAAGCTAAAGGAGGATAAACAGTTCATCCTGTTCCCACACCTATCTCAGCCATCGAAGACATTAATAATAAAAATAATGAAGGAGGTAGTAATGAAAAACTTAATCTGTTCATTCGTGGAAAAGCTAGATCAGGTGCCGCTAACATTAAAGGAACCAAACTAAATAACCTCCATCAAAGATTTGACAAACAGAAAATACTGCTTCAATCTCCATAGATCCGAGAGAGGTAATCTGTAAGTACACAATACAGAAAACTACCGAGTAAAAAGTGCGCATGCTTCGTTAAATTATTGGGTCCAAATTCTAGTAAACTGCAAAAGTTCTGAAATAGTGGTGGGAGGTTATTTTAGATCTAGGCATTCATAGCTTAAAAAATATGTAATAAATTTAATATAAGACACTCTGATCGATTCAGTGTTTAGCAATGTTGGCTGCAACTCGAATCCAGGAGATCTCTTAGATGCTTGTAAATAAATATATCGTGTTTTGCGGCATGGCGGTACATTAAATACATGACGAGCCAAAAGTCCTTTTGGAGAGCTTTGGTGGTAGAAGGAAGACTTTTAGATCAGTCTCCCAAAGTAGGATCCAAGCGTCTCTCATCCCTCTGAGATTAGGATAAAACTGGACAAAGCTGTACTGTAAGGTGCTCCAAACCATGCAGACGTAATCCTGCACTTTTCACCACGATGAAATTTGTGGGTTTGTTCTAATGCTACTGTCAGACGAAGTGAGATAAGTCAGAACAACAAGTATAGACACGATATAACTTTATAGTAATGGCGCTGATTTAAAACAAAAGCCTTAAAACATTTCGCACGACCGCATTAAACTGGCTTTTGATATGCAAACATCCTTTGCATTTAAAATAAATGCCTCGAATGCCTAAGTGTGCCTTGCTTCGGGTATGACTAAATTTTGCTTTGATTTAAAGGTAATATACATGCATCAGCCCAGTCATAAAATCCCCAAAAATTAAATTTATTCCTAATGAAAAGAGAATACTTCAGTTTTATTAAATAAAATATGTTGTTGGTGTAAAAAAAGGTCGATATTTTAAAAAAATTGATAAGTTTGATATATTAGGCTAAATTTAATTTAAAATGTAATTAGTATTTAATGCATTCATAACAAGATAAACTTATTTGTCATAACACATATATATTTAAATATATTATATAAATTAACACATTTATTTATTATTTATTAAAGCAATACTACTAATAATTCTACAAGTGAAAGAAAAATAATAAATATAGCGAACTTTTCTTTTCTTTCTTTCTTTTTCTTTTCTTTTCTTTTTTTTTTTTTTTTGGATTTGAAAAGCATTTAAAGATGTTTACAGGCCTCATTCTATAAAACAAAAAAATAAACATATAATAAATGGAAATAAGTGTAAAGTTATTCTTATTTTAGGCGATCGGAAATCATTTATATGGGATGATCAGAAAGCTTCCGTTAAATGACTCGGCAGCGTGTATGACATGTATTATTATATTCTAAGTGAGCCCTGCGTTAATCTGCTGCGTTCAGACTTGTATGTAAAAATATGGTGCACATATTCCTGATTGCGCAATTTTCGAATACGTCAAAAGAAGACCATCGTGCATTTATGCTCACTTCTTCCATTGCGCAAGAGTTTAGACCTGTGGACCATTTATAATTTTCTAACTTTATGGTTACAACATCAGTTGCATCTAACCATTGACCTTACATTACACTAAATACATTCGTAAAGGACGTAAGTTCTAGTCTGAAAATTCGGACAGCAAAGAATTGGATTGATTGGAAAGACATCAGCAGTTCGATTTCATCGATGGGATGACTGCCTCAATACTGATAGTTGTTTCTTGAAAAACCCTCAACTGGAAGCTGTCTGATCAACCGTTTATATTATTTGAATAATATTTAAAGCTTTCTGCTTAAACTAAAACAGAAACTGTTACTCACAATTAAATAAAAGTTACCCATCTTTTTAGCCATCGTTCGTTGCACCTTTGGGTTAAACTAACAGATAATACGAAGACAAATCCAAATTCCCTTTAAACCTTTCTTATAGCTGTGCTATTCGGAAATACACTGCACGTAATATTATTTGGATCATCATCTGTGTTCGTTATGATGATGTTCTACAGTCTACTGCTCGTTCGGGAAGTAAGAGCATTTGTGTAACTTTACAAAAAGGAGTGAGAGGCTGCGTAAATATAGAGCTTACGGACAGTGTTACAGTACCTGCATTAGGAAACTGGCAATACAAAACAGAAACGTAATATTATCTGTCCATTATTATCATGAATTACAACAAAATGAATACCAATGTTGTAAAGTTGCCAGTTAAGAAGGCGGCTTTCCGGAAGAATTTACTTTTTACTTGGACAAAAGTTAAGGTGGTGCTTAATTTTGTAGGAAAACTTTATCCATTTCGAAGGAGACTGACCCCGTTTCCTCTTTTACAAGAAGCAGAAAATAAGAATTAACAAAACAAAAACGAAACAATGGAAGATAATCGTTGGGGCCAACAGTCCGTGCAAACATGCAGTGTTTCTAAGCTTAGCCCTCTTTTATTTATGTTGGTTAATTTGTTTTTGTAAATTTGAAAATATGTGTAAGTAATGGAAATAAATTCTTTAGTGTACAGGATTTCATTATGAGCGATTACAGCATTATCTTACGTCATTGCTGATTGTTGTGAATTGCACAACGATACAGTTAGAAATCTGAAGTATATGTTTCGAGAATCATCCAAAGGTTTCATATTTTCGGAGAAACAGGAAAGGATAGGAAGAATTATGTGGGACATCAGGAGCATCACCAACGGTTTTATAGATATAATCACGGCACACACCAAAATCATTCATTATCGAGCTGCAGAAGTAGTTATAAATTTGTTGCATTAAAGTACTCCATTAGATATTGTATAAGTTCTACCGAAAGGAGAGAATCAAAACTCTAAATGGAGTGAAAGATTTAAGGTTAAATAATTATTTGACATCGGGCTAGCTAGCATGGAATGCATGATAACTGTGGTACTATCTGCTGACAAAATGAGAATTTTCGCCAAGGTAAAAAGAAAGGAAAAAATAGTTTATCAGTTAACGTCACCTCTTCTTTTTACCACTGAATAAAATTTTTTTTCTGTGTTTTAAATTTATACAGGTGGGAAAAACATTTGCATAAAACATTGTACATTAATATTTTAAGTGAAACAATTAATAATAATAAGTATTTTGACATTTAATCTTCGATGATGTTTCACATCGAACGGAAGCAAAAATAAAAATTCAGACAACTTACATTCTTATCTCTAACCCGAATCATAAAATACTTCTTCTTGTAGTAGACTTTTGTGATTCTGGGCCTGTAAAAGTAGAATCAAACTCATGAATACATTTAGAAATATTTCAGTTATTACCTTGAATAATAAATGTACCTAATATTTATTTCTGGGTTGATAGAGAATATTAAAACATATTTACATAAATTTGCAGTATATTAAATAACTTGTGGTGTATGCAGGAAATAATAGAACCGTATTTGATAACAATGGAAATGTAATAATGTAATAAGAAAGTAATTTTTTCACAATTTTTAGCACGACAGAAAAAAAAAAAAATCTTGCCAGTCTGTTATTCCCTTTACATCTACTTATAGACGATTCTGTTTTGAAGTATTCATCTTTACATTATGCTTACATTCTATGCATCTTCACGTTCACTGTCGGAACTTCTGATGTTATAACAGCACACTGACAGATAACAGTGTTTTAATAACAATTATGTTGTTCCCACACTAAACTTAATTCGTTGAGATCAGTGCCACATATTATGTTAGATATTTTACAAAATGCTTCCTTTCTAGATTCAATATAAGTATGCTCATATATATACTGTTGTAAATATTTGTGTTTATGTAATTTATTGTGCACTTTGTTTAATTGAATTCATGGCTATTTAGTGTGTTTGTAAAACCTTAGTGTTGTTTTAGTGTTTGTAAACTTTTAGTGTTGTTTTAGTGCTTGTAAACTCTTAGTGCTTATAAATTTGTATTTCGTGTTTATGTTGGGGATCTTTCGGTTTTGGATCGATCGGCATTTGAATTGTAAAGATAGCTGGAATAAGAATCAAAGATTTGACCCAAAACCCTCCTATCGGATCTTACCTACAATTTCTGTAGCCAAGTTGGCGACAGTTAGTGAATTCTCACTAACTTGGCGACATTCTGAATGTTTCCGGAAAATGCTTTTTCGAAGTGTTGAGAATTACTTTGCTCGAAGCTAACAAAAGATTTTACTCTCTTTCTTGAGCAATCGTAAGAATAAATAGGACGCATGAATGGGACGCAGTGTACAGCTCAAACAATTCCGTTGTTTAGTTCAGAGTGCGACTATATTAAACTCTTGTTCGGTGATTACTGCTTTAGACTTGCTATTTTGGTGTCTGAGCTGCTATTTATTTTAGTAAAGTTTCAATTTCATCCTATTAATTCGGCGTAGTCATTAAGAAAACCACTAAGAACAAGTAGCATACAAAAATACACAAGATTTGTTTTCTTTAAGAGAGGCTAGCCTCCTTAAAAGAAAAATATTCCACTCATATCCAATTGCAAAATAGACAATGAAGATTGATTAGGTTATTATTCTCACGCGACAGTTCTAAATACTGCTAAACAGAGAAGAATTTGAAAGGAATGGCCTCCATGAATTTAAGATTTAAAGTTTAAAGAGTTACATGATGTTAAGTTGAAAGGCTAGTGCTTGTGATTTCTGCTTACTGGATAATCGCTTATGAATAATTATGATTTTTTCCCATATGTCATATTGCTCTTCTTTTGCAATGTTATTATAAATAATCAAAAGGGTTTACTACAAATTTTATATGAAATAGATGAAATGTTTTCATGTAATTATATAACTTTGAATATTTAATCAATTTCGCCAAAATGCCGCATTTACATACACGGCACAGGCCGCAATTTAACTGTTGCCCCTTTCACATTCAAGATTAAAGAAATTGCAGAATATGTTAAATTTCAAAGCAAATAACGAATTTTAAAAAGAATCGTTTGCGTAATACGTACACACTTTAATTATGAATGAGCTTGATTTTGGTTACAAGATAAGATAAAAGTGTCTTTGGTGAAGCAACACATCTCTCGGAATAGCCGACCTACTTTTATAATTTGCATGACATTTTAAAGCTTCCCACTTAATATGGTGAGAAATATGGCGCCTTTTTACTTGGAAGGAGAATATTATTTATTACATAAGCAACATAGAGTAAAACGTGAAACTTAGTTTTGTTTTAAATTAAAAAAAGGTCGAAAAAGATGTAATTTGAATATAAAATATGCAATATCCTTGTCTTTTGCTAATTTTTTGTTTTATAAATTCAGTCTTGTTATTTAATTTTTAAACTGGATGGTCCAAAGGAAGAATTGTGTTTTCTGCTAGCCATTAGAATTTTGTGAAATTATGATTATTAAATATAACAACTGTTTTTTTCATGTTGTTTATCCGATGACATGGAAAATAAACTTTCTCCAACCTATTCAAATAAATGAATTAATGTTGGAACTGTCAGCATCTCATTTAAAGCCTATATTAATAATAGCCTATATTAATAAATAATATTAGCGCGTTTTAGATTTCCATGTTTCCTAATGATCGTCCAAATAACGACAAAAACGCGATTCTCTTCAAACAAAACTACACACTATGGGTAGCAGTTCTCAATGGGCAGTATCAGTTTCGGATATTCGATCTTTTTTGGAGATATCACTGATAAATCTAGCTGAGGATAAACGAAACAGAAGCTATCCATATAAAAATAATAATAATAAAAATAACACATAAAGCAGAAATTTTGAGAGGAAGCTCACAAATAACTTAGCCCACCAGCGGCCGAGCGGTAAAGTCGCTGAACACTGATAGTTCGGTCCGAGGTTCGAATCCCGCGAACGGGCTGGCTGCATGGGTGTTTTCGTGGTTTTCCCCATGTGTAACGTGTATACGAGCCAGTTTCCCTTAGAAAGTCCTCCACGAAGGCATCCCTCCCCTTAGGCAGATAGCCCTCGTGTGCTTTGCCATAATTAAATACACACACACAAATAACTTAACCTTTAATAAAAACAATCAAATAAACATTAAGACAATTAGACTAAAAGAGAAACACGCTAATGTGACAATCAAAATCGTAAAAAACAACCTTATATTTAGCGTAGGTATAATGAAACACTCAATCGATTTCGAGGGCAGCTAAAGGTCCCTTGGCGTTACCTCCTCGCACTTGGTACTACCAGAGGGTATAAAAATCCGTTCAGTGGTTGCTTTCCATTATTTGAAGTTCAGATTTTGAGCGTAATGTGCATTTGCCCCTCGCTCCCTATTTTAACTTCGCTAATATTTCTTTATGCTTGATCAGACAGCCTGGCTCAGTAAAAGTAGGCGGCCAGTGCAACTCTGATTAAAAATCTAGTTATAACCACGTGCAGTGCTGATAAGCACCACGTGTTTCTGTGATTCCTATATTCTTTCTATGTATTTCTTTCTCCTGATGAGGAGGGACCTTTAGCTGCCCTCGAAATCGATTGAGTGTTTCATTATACCTACGAAATATAAGGTTGTTTTTTACGATTTTGATTAAGACAATTGACTAAACTGATTCATCTATACACAGTTTATCATACAGATACTTCTTGTATACTATTACCAGAATTTAAAACAGATTTGTAAAATCGTGACATTTATGTTTAACTAACAGTTAAGAGTTTATTTTTCATCTTTATGCTCATTTCGTCACGTACTTCAGTTTAGAGGCTTATACAGATTTATTGGCAAACGGTGTATTTTAAACTGAGAGGAAGAATTGTAACCGCATTAATTATAATATTAAAGACGTTTGCTCTTGCTACAATCTCCGACTTGTTTTTACTCAGAAGCTGCTGTTAGATTAAAAGTATTCGCTGGGCGTTGAGCATGGGCTGTTAAGTGTGGTTTTATTTCTGAGTTAGGTTACTGGACTTAAGTGTTATATGTTGCTTCGACTAGGAGCATTGGTACTGTAGGCAGTTAAATTGTTATATATTCCAGCTAGTAGCTGCAAGTCGAGGAGACTTATTTTGTATTTATAGTATTTTAATTTAACTCACAGTTAGTGAGAAAAATAAAGTTAGGTTAATATTATTTTACATCTTTATGTATTTATTACTTTCACAGCCAGTTTCAGTTGAAGACGATAACTAGCATCCGCAGCTAGCACATGTACATAGTTATCTAGAAACGCCCCTCAGATCGTTATAAGATTATCCAAATTTTTTATAGGAAATGATAAATGTACCAAACTTTCGAACCGTAAAAGTTAGTTATAGCGGTGTTTGATTGTAATTAATTAATCGAAGTTTCGGTAATTTTCAAATTATCGTCAAGCTCGACTGCAAACGCACTATCTCTCATCCATTTAACGTGGATTATTTACGCAGGAAGAGCTGCAATATACGAAACATTTCATACCAACATATTATAAGAATACATATTTACACTTGTTACACGATTTCATAACTATATGGTATCCGCATTCTTCATGTACATACTTCGCATTTGTTATTTGCTTTCGCATTCTCAGTTCGTAATTCGAACCCGCTTATTGTATGATTAAAGCTCTATAAAGTAGCATTCTTTTTAGCTTACAACAACCGAATGGACAGAAGCAATATTTTGCTTATGGAAGACCTTTCTTCGTATGTGTCCAATATTCCCATAATATGATATCTCAGTCACTCAGCACCTTCTTAATAATATATGCGAGTATAGTCAACGATATTTTGATAAGTATATTATTACTATTGGGAGAATTGTTGAATGCCCTAGAATATTACAAAAACTCTTAAGCTTATGATTGTTAAAACGAACCTTCGCATTTGATTCTATTTTCTCTTCGCAGAGTATAACAATTGAGAATTGGTTCCTCGTTAGCTACCCACTACGACTGACAAGCAAATATCCCACTTTAATAAGGCAGTCTGATAATCTATGTGGGAATCTTGATGATAATATTTATTCATATGCACTTCTCAAGAGAAGCGCCGTGATGTGGTAGACATACAGCGAAGAAAATCTTGGCTTCCGAGCGAAATATATGTAAGCAACAGTTTTCTCGGAATTTAATCTAGGAGCTACTACAGCATGTCCTATAAGTCAAACATTTAAGCAGGGTGGATATTTTACAACTTGTTCAAATAATCTTCCACTTCACAACACACGGATCCAGTCGATCCTCGCCTTTAATAACATACTTTCGATGACGCATACATCAGTCTGATGAAAAAATGTGATGGAATTTCTTCCAAGTGTTTGCATACCAA